GAACTGATGGATATTTCCTGGTCTATGTGTAACTTTAAAGTCGGTATAGTATCTACAGAGTGTATAATTTAACTAACCACAGAGCTCTGCATCTTCGTCTGACTGGTCTGTACAGAGGAGAGCACTCGAGGAGGCAGGACTGACGCGCGTTCCCAGGCCCGCCCTGGTCTGTGCGCGGTTTCTATCAGTTCCGTGTAGATTCTGTTTCATGTTTGCAACTCGAAGCCCACGTTGTAAGTCTGTCCAGTGTGTCCCGGAGCTTGTGTTTGGCTGCGCCTGCGTCACAAGCTGCTGCAACCAGAATAAAGAGTTTCCGAGCCTGCGTCTCGCTTGGGTGCAGGGAGTGGGCTTTGCGCACAGGGCTCGGCGCTGACGGAACAGTGGGAGTGACATCCGCGCTGGCGGTCACGTTGTTGGGATTTCTCTTCTTTTCTTGTTTTTTATCATCTTGTGAAAGGTTTTGAAACTCGATAATAAAGAGCAGTTGGTGTAAATTATTTTTGTGTCACATTTTTAGGAGGAAAAACACATTTTTTAAAATTGATTTTAGAGAGAGGAAGGGAGAGAGAGAAACATCGATGTGAGAGAGAGGGAGACATGGATCAGTTGCCTTCCATACCAGCCCAGACCGGGGGTGGAACCCACAACCTGGTATGTGCCCTGACCAGGAATGGAAGCCGCCGCCCTTCAGTGCATGGAATGATGCTCCGTCCGACGGGGCTACCCCGGCCGGGGCAGCAGGAAGAGCATATTTTGAACCGACAAATGGATCCTCAACCTGGAGAATGGATTCTTGGTTCTAGCTCCCAAGCCGCTCTTAAACCTGTGGGCCTGGCGCTCATGCTCGGGCACACACCCATTTGATTGTTTACACCATGAATGCAAGTTTGACGGTAGAAACGGGCTATCCTGGCTTCCCTTGATGCTTTGTAGACTCCAGGACACCCGAGTTACACGGCTCCTCTGTTATGGCCCTGCGCATTGGGGCGACATAGCCTCTGCACCCCACCATCGCCCCTTTATTTATAAAAGGAAACCGCAAATCAGTACTAGAACCATGTCTGCATAGAGCCTGTTTCCATTAAATGTTCAGTTAAAGATTCTGTCTTCATCAGGCTGTGTGTTTGAGTGGGGGGAGGATTGATGAGATGGGGGAGGGTTGACTCGCTGCTGTTTATGGGAAAGCAGGCCGGGGTGGTGTGAGGACAGTCGGGCACAACCTGTGTGAAGGGCGTTGTGTTGCTCTTCCCACCTCTCTCTCTCTGACCTTTCCCTTCCCAGGACACACTTGAATTTGAAGGAAGAGACTCTGTGTACTCTTTACATTTGGGAGAGAACAGGAGAGAACTGAAAATGGAGTTTTTCAAGGGTTGCCATCCCTGACTAAATATAACGCACCGAGTCTCTCCTAGGTCCGCCAGAACCTGCATGGGCAGGAAGGTGTCCTGGCATTCCTCCCAGCCGCGAGGTTTCGATGACTGTCCCAGCCACCTACCTCTGCTGTACAAAAACTACAGCCAGCCTGGCGAGGCGGCAGCACGGCAGTTTTGTATCCGAGTTCCTTCCCCGCGCACCACCTGACGCGTAAGAAACGGTGGCAGTACAGTTTGTCGCCTTCCCAATAAAGGGTTAGAAGCAGCGGTTCCGTTTGGCCTTTCTGTGCAGGTGGTTGTGACCAAACCACACGGAAGCGGGTGGTGGACGGCGTTCGGATCGGTTCTTCCCCGCAGTCGTCCGCTTTGCAGAGCGCCTGCCCAGAGAAGAGGCCTTGAGTGTCTCCCGTCAGGAGTGATCCCGCGTATCCCATTCACTAGGCCCTTTCCCAGGGGTGCAGTCCGGGGCCGGGGCTTAGAACATTCAGAGCTCGGCGGCCTTCGCCACTCTCCAGAACATTCCACCTCAGAAAGGAACCCGTTAGCATTCGCGCTCTGGTCCTTGCTCTGGTGCAGTCGCTCATCTGGTATCTGTTTCTCAGGCCAGTTTTGGACCATTGGTATAAAATGGGATTCTATTTTTTTAAGTCCTCATCTAAGAGTCTGTTTTCCATTAATCTTTAGAGGAGAGGGAGGCGAGAAAGAGAAACACTGACGTGATCACCTTCCCCACACGCCCCAACAGGCCAGGGATCGAACCTGTGACCCATCAGTCCACAGGCTGATGCTCTGACCACTGAGCGAAACCGGCCGGGGCTCCAGTGGGATCTAACTTAGTCCGTGTCCAGGGCTCATCCCTGACAGCGCGCAGCAGCACTGCCTTTGTATTGCCAGGTCACTCCTGGCCCTGCTCGCCGGCCGGTGGGCACTGGAGTCTTCCCGTGGGGGATCATGCTGTGAACGTTCACATACTGAGTTTTGTGTGGACGTCTTTCCAGTTCTGGGCAGATGCCGAGAAGTGAAGTGTCTGATTCCCATGGTAACCTTTTAATCCTTTGCCAGACTTCTAAAACAGGCCGCCCCATCTTACAATCCTACCAGCAGAGGAGAGAACTTGTTTTCCACAACTGCAGCGTGGACCCGTCTCATGACAGCCTCCGCAGTGGGGGCGAGAGGCGAGGGGTTGAGATCTGCATTTGCCTGGTGAGGAATGCTACGCATCTTGCCATGCGCTCACCGGCCAGTGTGTACCGTGGGAGCAGCGTCTGTTCACAGCCTCCGCCCGTGTCACTCAGGCTGTCTCAGTGTTCACGTGTCACCTCCCGCCCTGCCAGCGCCCCAGTTCACCAGCAAGTATGCGGTGGGAAGGCTTCCAGGGAAGCCACAGGCCAGGAAGTGATGAAGAAAGGGTCCCAGGTCAAGATCAACCCAAGGCCCACACTCCAAGGACGGGCCCCACGACCTGCCAGCAGCCGGGGAAGCTGTCCCTTCTCCACGCTTCCAGCACAAGGCCTGGGGGCAGGGGGGTGTCTCAGTGGCCTGGTGTCCGTTGGCGCCATCCTTGAACCCGTCGCCGGGGTCAGGCTCACTGGGCCTGGATCCCACGCCCAGCCGTTCTCACCTTAGCGAGGTGGCCTGGGCAGTGCCTGTGTTTCTGTTTCCAGGTAGAGCGAGCATGTCAAACTCAAAGGCTAATACGGGCCAACTAAATGAGTTTGACATGCTTGAGGTGGAGGGGCTTTGTGTTGGAAGGGATCACGTCTTAGGTATTTGAGAGACATCCATTGTCAGTGTGAGAGGAGCAGGGAGAGGGCGTTGCCTTTCGTCCTGGCCCTGGGGCCTCTGCCCTTTTCCACTGCTTGCTCTCTCTCTCTCTCTCTCTCTCTCTCTATATATATATATATATATATGTTAGAAGCCCAGCATGTGAAATTGCGTGGCCCCGCCCACCCATGCCGGTCTTTGGTTGTTACAAAGATTTCAGAGAGGAAGGGAGAGGGAGAGACAGAAACATCAATGATGAGAGAGAATCATTGATCAGCTGCCCACTGCATCCCCACACTGGGGATCGAGCCCAGAACCCGGGCATGTGCCCTGACTGGAAATTAAACTGTGACCTCCTGGTTCACGGGATCCACCCTCAACCACTGAGCCTCGCCCGCTGGGCTCCCTCTCTGACCAGCGGGAATGTTGGGAGCCGCCCTCAAACCCCCTTCCTGACATACGTGGGCAGCAGCAGGTCAGAGCCACCTCTGAGGTAAGTCAGCTGTTCAGTATCCATCTCCTTCCCGCAGCCGGGGACGGAGTGGCACAGAGCTCTCACAGCCAGTCACGGCCAGAATAACCACCAGGCTGCATGCAAAGTGAGAACGTACCAGGAGGAACGGCCTGACCACAAAAACCTGCCCAGCCAGTAACGCAGCCAAGAACGCCGACGCAAGTAGGTTCTCCTGACGGCACCCGGCACCCGTGTGCATGTCCACCCTCACCCACCGCACTGCAGTCTGGAGTCACACAATTGGCTTCGTGCGCAGCATCTAGTCAGCCCACACCCATCTTAGCCAGAGGCATGGGGCCAGGCATTGCTCAGGAGCCCTGTCCAGGTCTCGTCACAAAGCTGAACCACCACAGTGCAGGTGGCCCGGCTGCCGAGTTAGAGGGCGTGTGTTTGCTTTTAAATGAAATCCTGCCAAGCCCTGGCCAGGTGGCTCAGTTGGTTAGAGCGTCAAACCGATACACCAAGGTTGCAGGTTCGATCCCCGGTCAGGGCCCAGACAAGAATCAATGAGTGGCCGAAACCGGTTTGGCTCAGTGGATAGAGCATCAGCCTGCGGACTGAGAGGTCCCAGGTTCGATTCCGGTCAAGGGCATGTACCGTGGTTGTGGGCACATCCCCAGTAGGGAGTGTGCAGGAGGCAGCTGATCGATGTTTCTCTCTCATCGATGTTTCTAACTCCCTATCTCTCTCCCTTCCTCTCTGTAAAAAATCAATAAAATATATTTTGAAAAAAAGAATCAATGAGTGCATAAATAGGTGGAACGGTAAAGTCAGTTTCTCTCCCTTCCTCTCTCTAAAATCAATAAAGAGGAAAAAAATAAAAACGAGTGAGTAACTGCTGGTGGGGATCCCATTGGTGCTTAAACCTTTTTTCACCCGGAAACTCCCTTTCCCCAGGGTCAGGGTGGCCGTGCACAAGACCAACACAGGATGTCCGCGGAGACGGACTGTGATTGTGAGTGGACGTTACCTGAACACCCCGTCACATCTCATCGCACCCATTCGGTGCCCGGTATGTAGTCATTACAAAACACTGTTGTAAACTGTTTTATGGCATGTTAATTAAGTGACAGAAAATGCATCTGATGTGCTGATCAGTGTTTAAGACACGTGCCTCCCTCGCTGTGCCGAGAGCAGGCACACCGAGTCGAAAATGACATCCTCTGCGTTCAAGGTTTGCGGTTGCTTAAATGTTTTCATTACGAAAATATACACAAAAGTCCAATAGAAGGAGGCTCTGTGCACCCATGGCCGCAGTATTTGGGGAAACGCTCATTGTGCTGGGAATACGTTGCAGAGTGTGGGTGTCCGCTGAGTGTGGGATCTACACAAGGACCGTGAAGCCGGGACCGTTTTTGACACAAAGTGTTTTATTTTGAAATTCCCAGCAGAGCTCTCGTCCTCGGTGCCTTGCGCAGGAGACGCCTGTGAGAATCCAGACTGGAACGGGGGCAGGCAGGCCTGTCGCCCCTCCCGGCCCTCCCGCCAAGCCATACCTGGGGACGCGCAGCCCGGCCCCCAGACCCCCCACCTGCGGGTCTAAACGGACAGAAAACCTCAGGGTGTGGATTTACGGTGTGGCCCTAAATGGCCAATGTCTCTCTCTGGTGGCGCCCAAACCCGACACCAGGATGGACGCTGTAGGAGACGAGCTCGCCCGTGACCGTGACCGGCGCTCCCACCCCGTGCCCCTTGCCAGGCCCGCAGTCACTGTTGACAGGCAAACCAAGTGTACGCGGCAGCATCGTTAAAAACCATGTAAACATTGCAAAGACGTCAGGGTTACTTAGACTCCGAAGAGATATTTATAAAAAACCACTGGGCTTGTGAAAACTACAAATACCAGCCCTCCCTCCGCCCATGAAAAAAGCTGTTACAAAAATATAAAAAATGCACCCGCCTCTGCTCATCCTGGCTCCGGACCACGCCAGAGCCCCGGCAACGTGGAGCTTTTGAAGGAAGGCCGCCTTCCCAGAGACCCTGTTCCTCGGGGCTGCGGCTGCCTTTTTCTCGGGGGCCGCAGGGAGTTCGCCCTGGAAACGGGAGCCCCGGAGGCTGCTTTCCAAGCTCAGATTCTCGATCCAGCTGCTTCCTTTTCCCCTTGGGACGCGCTGGGCCCCCAGACTCCTGTGCTGGCCTTGGGCTCGCTTCCTGCCCCCTGGGGAGGCGGGGTGGCAGGGGGCACGCCTGCCCCGGCCAGGTGTGCTAAGCCAGGGAGGCTGCGGCAAGGGGGGGGTGCCCCACCCCCGGCCTGGGGAGGTGACAGGTGCTGCGGCCCCCTGGCTGGCAAACACTGTGGAGGCAAACGCTGCGGGAAGCGAAGCGCTTTTATGCACTTCAGATCGACCGCACCACAGGCGCGTCGGCCAGTTCATGGGCAGGAAGTGGGCCAAACGCAGTTTGCAAGGGCTCAGCGGACACCTTGGAGGCGGGGTGACTGGCCAGTCCTCGAGAAGGCTTGGGCACCAGGACAGGGCCACTGTCTCACTGTTCCTGCTCTCGCCAGCAGAGGGCAGTGTGTGCCAAGGCTCAACCGGGCCCTGGGAGAGAACCATTGTTGGGGAAAAGCAGGATGGATCCCCTCACCAACAGGCTGACTCCCCACACACGACTGGGATAGCGGGGTAGCGCTGGGCTGTACCCCCGTCCCAGGTCCCAGCCAACCCGTCACCCCCAAAGCCTCGTGGGTGCACAGAGTCCTTGCTCCCTGGGAGCCTGGTCACCTGCTCACACCCACTCATCCCCTGCAGGACAGAAGGAAAACAGTACCCACCACCGACCGGGCATCCCCGCGACCCCTGCACCCCTGCACTGAGACGCACTGTCTGCCTCCGGCCAGAAGGGGGCGCCCCGCTGAGCCTGCAGTGGACTCGGGGCCCCTGCTGGGGGCTGGGTTCTGCACCAAGGGTTTTATTTCACAGATCACGTGGCGGTTGGGATGTCCAGTCCTCCCCGGGGTTCAGCCCTGCACTTGCAGCCTCCTGTTCCTCGGAGCAGCCTCTCACCCCGATGAGCCCGGGAGCGGCGGCGGCAGCAGATCCAGACGCGCCCCCCACGGGCGGGCCACGTCCCCTCCACTTTGGTTGCATCAAAAAACAAGAAGAGAAACGGGGTTTCTGGGACATCCCCATTCACATCGGCTCGGGAGAGACGTGCTCCCCACGTCAAGGCACAAAGAAGGAGGCCTCCTGGGGCGGGGCGGCGGTGCCAGCGACCGGAGGCCCTGGCGGGGCGGAGGCAGGTCGCTGGGAGGGGCTCAGTGGGGGCCTCAGGCGAACTCCCCGAGGAACTGGATGTGGAAGTCCTTCACCCTCTGCAGCACCGTCTTCAGCTTCTCCATGGGAGGGAGGATGGTCATCCTGGGGGGAGAGCAGCGTCAGCCCGGCTGCCGGCCGCCCGCAGGGGCAGAGGGCAGAGAGCAGAGGCACGAACCCCGCAGCTCGGGCCCCCCACCTGCCGCCGGGGCACCAG